AATATTCTGGAACAGTTTTCGGCATGAGGTGACCGTGCGGTTCCCAGAAAACTTGGTCCGGGATTTTGAACCACCACCAGCAGAGGGATTTTTGGAGAGAAGGTGCCAGAGACTAAGGATAACAAAAGCTACCAGAGAGCCAGGCGGAGCACCCCGTGTTGCGGCCACAGCAGCTCCTGAAAGTTGACCGGCAAAAGCACCAAATGCCCTGGAACTATTTTGGACATAGGACCACGTGTGTGGCTGGTAACAACTTTAACACTGTGGTGTTTCCCCTACACTGCATTGATCTGAGCGCTATTTGGACATCTTGGGTGCTCAGATCATGGCTATTTGGGGATGTATTTGTGAAGTTCTTGTATATTTTTATGATGTTTTGGGGCATTTTTATGTTTTTTGCCTCTCTGTTCCTGGGAGATTAGCTTACCTAAAAGTTAACGCAATTATCTCCCAGGCCCAAAGATTCCTGGGAGGGGCTTGTACTGAATACAGTGGAGACCCCTTGCTGGGGTCTGTGCATAAAAAGCAGTGTTTGACTTAATAAAATCAGTTGTACTCCCAGAACTATCTGTCGTCTAGTTACTAGGAAGGGAAAGGGCTAATCACTGCTCAGCACCTTGTTCCAGCTCATGGAGGATTCGGTGGAGAAAGTCCTTGTAAGGACTAGAGCTCCCAGAAATGTGTGTCATCCAGTTCCTCAGAGGGAATAGAGCTAGTCCCCTATGCTGTTCCAGGACAGAGAGGCTCCAGGAGTACCCCAGTCAAGCCACGGCGAATGGAGCAGAAGCGCCAAGGGTTTTCCTCGGTTCCATCTAGGAAGCGATCTATGGCAGAGGTACCCAGCCGGGGTACAGGGAGCTCTGCAACAAGCCCATCTTTGGTTGTAGAATCCATTCTCAGGTGTTTTATCAGTGGTTTGAATAGCTGTATACATCAAGTGAAATATCACTGCATGATCCCATCCAAGCACTTTTAATGTATGCCATACCCCTTGCCAATCAAATGGACAGGGCTACTCCAACTTCTATAAAATATCTACAATTTAATTCTTTATTAAACTAAGCTCTGCCCACAACTACCAACACAACTTCCATGTCTTCCTAAAACCTGTTCTGCCCAGTTCGTGAACAAAACCAGTCTTCTGTACTTTCTGCATCCAACCCCTTGCAGTCCATATGGAATGGGTTCACCGCATATATTTATATCTTGGTTATTTCATGCATCATACCTTATTCAATATTTAGGCCAGTGTCCTCAAGTCAAAAAAAATCCACTAACTCTAGAGTTGGAGAGTGGTTGTGAAAGCCTAAAAGCATTGTTAAATATATCCAGCACATGATAGTAAATAAAGATAAATACAAATTGCACAATTCAAATAGTTCTTAAGCAGTACACTTTACAAATTTCAGTGAATGTGATTTTTATCTAAACTCTCACCAGCATACACTCAAAAACAAAACAAACATTCTTCAGCTTAGCACTCTTCAATGAGTTCCCATGACAACATCTTAATGAGAAACAATGAGCAAAGTACTGTAGTTTTTACAAATCTGTTTTATAAGCAGAGATAGCCAAAAGCTAGTTAAAGATTTACACAACAGGAGGTAAATGGCTTTCACCTCTCAAAATGTATTAAAAAAATAAAATAAATAAATAAAATATATATATATATATATATATAATAAAAGGTTTAGTTTGAACCACAAGATCTTACAAATTGTCTATACGCTGCAGTTGCTGGGTTATCAATATATGATGCAATGTGGGAATAACACTACTGTTTAGAGAACAGACTTGAAATGAGCAGCAAGTCAGGCTAAAAACTGAATATCATGATCTTGTCCCTCCTACTACAGAGGACTACTGGCTGGTGTACCCATGAGGTTCGTTGGAGAACCTCTGAGCAGTTGGGCATCAAGTCAATGATGAAAATACAGCAGACAGAAAAACAAGGCTCATCAAAAATATGTGACAATGCAAATATAGGGCAAAAATTAAAAAAAATATATATAAAAATGTATAGACAAATACATTTGAATGAATGAATTAAATATCACATCACTCATGAGGATTGATCATTAGTGAGATTGTAGCATGACAGCTTGGCTGTGACAGATTGCCTGCTTGTTATCTTGTAGTAGATTGTTGCCATAACCAAAATATCAGTCTTCGAAAAACAAAAAGCTACAGTATTTCTGCTGTAGACTATAAAATGATATTTCCTGGACTGGGATTTCCAATTATCGAAGCAGGAAGAAGCAATACTCTGACAGGTGCGTAGGGCCGGGCATCTGTGTTTATTTTCTCCCTACGGTGGTTTCAAGCTCCAAGAAGAAAAACAGCTCCCACTTCTGAGCCCTGCCAAAGGAAGCGATTTCCGTGGGGCAATGCTATGAAAGGATAAACAGTTTTATTTCTGTGTAGGAAGAAAAATAAAGTGTTTCCAGCTTAGAGTGTCATTAATGTTTAATAATGGTGTCCTTACAAGTAAAATTTAGCAATTCCATAAAAACAAAAAGCATGACATTACATTTTATTTTTGGCTTTTTACAAGTGGTTTTTATTACTGTAATGTTAAAATTAGAGCCCTTCTAAACACAAAATATGCAGATTTTCTAAACACATTAAAAGTGCAACAAAACCTGTACAGACTCGATGTAGCCCAGTTTTATATCAAACGGTGCAGTCCGGGCCCCCGAGGACCGCCGGGCCCGTGACAAGCGTCATGGTTGTCACCCCCTGATGGCAGCCGCGACCCTGGTATGTACGCCACTGGCTCTAGGCAGGGCTGCCATCAGGGGGTGACAACCATGACGGTTGTCACGGGCCTGGCGGTCCTGGGGGGCCCGGACTGCACTGGTAATTAGGCATGTGCATGGGGAAAATTTTCGGTTCGGCATTCCGCAATTCGGGACTTCGGCAATTCGGCACTTCAAGACTTCGACACTTCGGAATTTCAGAACTTCGGCATTTCGGCAGTTCGGGACTTCTATTGCAGCCGCTTAGTAGATAACTCCCTAATTCCCACGGTATTAGGGAGTTATCTACAAAAAAGGCTGAAAGACTTGGCTGAAAGAGTAATGCTTTCCTATGGGCAGTTTGAATGCGCGCGTGGCTCTTGCCGTGCATGCGCATTCGGAGCTGAGAGGCGGATCGGGGCAGAGGGGTCCCCAGCGCCAAGGGAGTCCGGCACTGGAGAAAGGTAAGTGCTGAAGGGGTTTTAAACACACACACTCTCACAAACAGATGCATACACACTAGCTAACAGACACATTTACTGACAGACACACTCAGTGACATACATACATACTCACTGACAGACAGACACACATACACACTCACAAAACATTTACTCTCACTGACAAACACTCATCAAACAGACTCACTAACAGACACACACAAACACACTCAAGTAACAGACACACACTCACTGACACACAAACTAACACACTCACTGGCACTCACTAGCAGACACACACACTAACACATTTAAAAAAAAAAAATGTAATCCCCCAGCCTCCTTACCTTTCGGAGAGCTGAGGGGATTCCCTGGGGTCCAGTGGTGCTGCTGGGCGGCCGGTCACCGGGCGGGCTGGCTGTCTGACATCATATTCCGGTATGTGGCGCGTGAGGGAGCTGGGCAGAGAGCGCTCAGGGGAGAGTGCTCCCTCGCCCGCCGGACCAGCTGCCTGTGACACCAGGGCCAGCCTCGACAGCGGGGGGCCCGGACACAAGGAGGATTACCAGTGCAGTCCGGGCCCCCCAAGACCGCCGGGCCTGTGACAACCGTCATGGTTGTCACCCCCTGATGGCAGCCGTGACCCCTGCGACCCCGGTATGTACGCCATTGGCTCTAGGCAGGGCTGCCATCAGAGGGGGACAACCATGACGGCGGTCCTGGGGGGCCCGGACTGCACTGGTAATTAGGCATGTGCATGGGGAAAATTTTCGGTTCGGTTCGGCATTCCGAAATTCGGGATTTTTCGCACTTCCGGATTTCGGCACCTCGGGACTTCTATTGCAGCCACTTAGTGGATAACTCCCTAATTCCCACGGTATTAGGGAGTTATGTACCAATAGGCTGAAAGACCTAAATTGGTCTTTCAGCCAAATTTACTAATACTAAGTAAAAATTACTTAGTATTAGTAAATGTTGCCCCTACTCGCTATACCGTTTAAAAATAAAATAATAAAAAAAATAGGGTCCCCCCTCCCGAGCCCCCACCTTCAACGCGTGAGTGGGGACTTTTAAACTAAAGGGGGTAACTATTGCTCCCCCCCGGCCCCCACCCCTGAGCGGCGGGTTGGGGCCCCAAAGTAAAACGATGAGGGGGGACCTATTGTCCTCCCCCCTGGACCCCACCCCTGAGCTGCGGGTGGGGGCCCTAAGTTGGAATAAGGGGGGACCTAATGTCCTCCTCCCAGCCACCAACCCTTGAGTGGCAGATGGGGGCCCTAAAAAAAAAATGTTAACCCCCCTCTCAGGCTACTCACTGTTTAATAGACATGCACCTACTCGCGGTATAGCGAGTAGGGGCATAATTTACTAATACTAAGTAATCTTTACTTAGTATTAGTAAATTTGTCTGAAAGACCAATTTGGATCTTTCAGCCTTTTAGTAGATAGCTCTCTAATACAGTGGGAATTAGGTAGTTATCTCCTTATTCATTCCTGTCATTACACTGACTGGCTAAGTAACTCACATTTTATATGAATGTGTGTTACTTGATTGATGTAAGTGTTGCAAATGCTTACAGCTGAATCCTGGCTATGTTTGTATACTTTTTATTTAAAATTGTATACAGTGTAACATTCTTCTTCTTTCACTGGGTAAGTATATTAGTACTTAGGCAATACTGTGCTTCGAACTTCGGCACTTCGAAAATACGGTAATTTCGGAACTTCGGCAATTCGGACATTCGGATGTACCCCCGCTCTCCAATGTGCATATATATTATAGCAAGTACCGCTATATATATATATATATATATATATAAAAAAATATATATATAAACAAGGTGCACTCACAGGTCTTCAAAAGATCTTGAAAAAGACCCTATAGGGGTCGAAACGTCGATTCATTGGAAGACTTTTTTGCACGTGTAATTTGCATATAAAATAAATGAAGCACTTTTGAAGACCTGTGAGTGCACCTTGTTTATATATTTTTGTATTTATAACGCTAAGGTTTGCATCCAGGCAATATTTATCTGGATATTTGCATTAAAGGGTGTGTGCCAAGTTCTATATATATATATATATATACACACACACACACACACACACACACACACACATACATACATACATATATATACACACATATACACATATACACATACATACACACACACCCCTCCGGGCTCTACTGACTTCCAAGCGGGGCCCAGGATATACTGACATCCCTCTCCAGCACGATCGCAAGCCGCGGCTGTAAAGCGTTGCCGCGGGTTGCCGTGACAACACTCGCGGCATGCAATGCATGCCGGGCTCGCTACAGAAGTAGAGGCCGGAGATGGAAGATGCAGACTGCTGAGCCCCTCTTTGCTGGTCTAACCAGTCCAGTTGAGCCACCGGACCACCAGGGAATCCAGTGTACCCCTCCCTGACTACAGGTAAGAGGCAGGGAGGGGGGGGGGAATAAAAATGTTTAATAAAAATTCAACAGCAATAAAATACCCCCCATCAAACAGACAAAACGCATCCACCACACACACACACACACACCAAACAGACAAAATGCTTCCACCACACACACCAAACAGACAAACTGCATCCACTACACAAACACACACACACACACAGCATTCACCACACAAATACACTTTACACTCACTATACACACATACATCATCCACTACACAAACACACACACATCATCCACTACGCACACACACACACATCATCCACTACACACACACACATCATCCACTACACACACACACACAGCATTCACTACACAAACACACAGCATTCACCACACACACACACACACACACACTCTGCACTCACTATACACATACTACATCCACTACAAACATAATCTGCAGTCACTATGTACACACTAATTCCACTACACAAATACACACTCTACATTTATTACAAACTCTGCATTCACTATACACACAAACACTACATCCACTACAGAAACACCCTGCATTCACTATACACACACTCTATCTACTACACAAACATTCAATCTGCATCCACTATAAACACCACATCCACTTTACTGATGCACTTTGCATCCACTACACACATTCTACAGCCACTATACACACACCAAATTCAGTACACACAAACTTCATCCTTGTGACTCAGGATGGGCCCTGTGGGGTGGATCTGGGGGCGAGTCATGTGGGCAGACTCAGGGGCAGGCCACTGGGATCCCAGACCTTGGTCTGCGTCAGGGGGCAGGCCTGCACAACCTGCAGCTCCCCGTGTGTTTTTAACTACCTATAATATGATTCTATGGTTGTTTCATTCAAAGAATCATGGGCATTGTAGTTCAAAAGATCTGGGGGGCTACATTTGTACAGACCTGCTCTGGGTATTACCAGTAGTGTTAGTGACATCACTGGTCCCTTCCCTATTTTCTCATTAAATCTCGATCCCACAATTATACTTTCCAATGTTTGAGGTATTGTTTGGAGTTTTGACAGCTATGAAAAGTAAAATCCACTTTTTTTTAAACGGTTACTTTCGAAATAGTAATGTGCTCCTTGTAATGTGTGACCTGTCGTGACAAATAAATGAAATTCCTGGGTATGAGAGATTTCAAAATAAATCGATTACAAGGTTTTTTCTCTCTATCAGGTTTCTAGGTGCCTTATGATTCTAAAGTTAGCAAGGAAGGAGTTAAAGCCAAATACAATATGTAGTTATAACAGAAGAAGTGGCCACTGAAATTGAAGTGGTACGTGTATTGTTGCCAACAGGTAAGGAATATCAGTTTTAACATGAAAATTAGACAGGCTGAAAATTCTATTCAAGCAACCAAGTATTTGCAGACTGAGTGCACATAGATTGCCTTTAGAAAAGCTTTAACGGCACAAGACCTCAAACAAATTGAACACAGAGGAAACTGAGAAGTATCTCTGCAAGCAGCACAGGTGGGAAGCGGAACCAATCTGACAGGTTGGCAAAGCCAAGAAATCTAATTCTGAATGAACAAAACAAAAACATAAATTTTATTCTGTGTAGAGTTTATGCCACCCTCCGAGAACTAGATAACTTGCCAATACAATAGTAATATTAACAGTAAAGCACATTTAGAGCCTCTAGTTTCAAACCATGTCCTTGGATCCACATATTACCTTGGTTAATAGTATTCATTGTATTGAGCTTGAAATGATACAAGGCCAACTCCACATTGGATATTAAAGTTGAAATCTACCCAGTGCAATAACTTGCTGGGAAGTTCAAACCATGTAATGCTTTTTTGTTTTGCATTAGGATTTTGTTATTTTTACCAGCCATCCAAATTAAATTAAGGTTTTTAAATTTATATATTCTTTTTATTTCATTAGATTTTTCCCAGATATTTCCTCAGACCTTTCATCGTGCCTGCAGAGTTTAATCAGCTTCTCTCTGTGGAGTTTGTTTATTTCGATTCACTTTACTTTTTTTTATATCTCTGCTCGGTAAACAATAAGTATTCCTAATAAAAGTGGAGAGGTGTCCACAGTGCTACACGAGAGAGCTGCAATAAAAAGGGACTTTATTGATTTAATTACTTAGAATGACATTTAGGTTTGGATTCGCTATTAAAATGAGTGCATTTAGCTACAGTTTTTTCTAAATGTAAAAATAAAAAATAATAAATATAGAAAACGTAATAATAGGAAGTGTTTGTCATGCAGTGAATTCATGCAGTGTGTATGTTCTTTCAGTGTTGTGATCTATAGCCACAATGTATCACAAGTCCACGGCCAACCCCTCATCTCCAGAATTAAAGTTGAAAATGAATGGGAGTTTGCTTAGTTCAATATTGCCTCCATGCAATTTTTTTTTTTTTTTTTTATCAGTGGCGATATCGGGAGGTATGAAATAAGCAGGGAAGGGCTGTGCTGAGCAAATTCCAGTTTAACAAAGAACTGAGGACAGAGGTGGCCTGAATGTGCTGTGTGTGCACATCTGTCTGACAGGCAACAAATACATTGATAGATTTTTTTTTTGGTGTTTCTTAACCTTACACCATGAGTGATAGTCAGTGAAGATAAAAAAAACAAAAACACCACAAACACACCAGGACTGCATGACATACGTCTCAAATCAATCCTGCCTCCAGACAAGACAACATGGTTTTAGATAAGTAAAAAAAAAATATATAGAGTTTTGTTTTTTTACATAGATTTTGAACTATGACATGTAGTAGATAACAAAACAAAATTACACATTTCCAAGGGAGGGTTGAGACTGTAGCTTTGCCACAGTTAGTGTTCTGTTTTTACATGCTGTTTAATTATGAGAACTTCACGGTCTGCGAGGGAATCCATTTGGTAACATCAGGAGGTAATGCTTGTAATTTCAGTGCAAAAAAAGTTACATTTTTGAAAACAGAATTGCAAAAAGAAATTTCAGTGCTACTAAAAAATATAGTTTCAATGTACATTTTCAGATCACTGTGAATGAACAAAAACATTTGCCAGATCCTCAGATTGAAGTTCTTAAACCTGTTAGTATATAATTGCAACCAGACAAGGTGTTAATGAGATATAGATATCGCCCATTGTGCTTATAACAAGATTGCACCAGTTATAAACGCTAACATTAGCAGTGGAGTACCAGAACCAACTGCCTTCAAATATATAAAAGCATATTGCTGGATATTTTAACCAATGTAGCTTTGTTGTCATAGGGATAAACACTGATTGATTAAGTAATCTTCCTAGTTTGTCTGTTGATTAATTAGAACAAAAAATAAATACAAATATTATATATAAGAGCAGACATTAGGCTGTTAGAGTAGGACCCGCCAAGAATGGGGTACATTGACGTTGTGGCAGGCTTATGCCCCATTAAAGCCCCATTATTTTTTGCCTAGGTGATGTGTTTTTAATAAAACTAACAAAATCTGTCAACATTGAAGTTGCTGTTTAGTGAATAGGTGAGTGCGCTGGATTTTGTGTATTGTATAATGTGGCCCCCAGCAGCACCCCATTTATGCATGTTCAGGTGAGCGCAGCCTCCCCTGTTATATATATATATATATTTGTGGTCGGTTAATTAGTGACTGTGAAATACCTTGTGATTGGTTAAAGTCTGTGTGGTGTGCCGGAACCGATATAGGGTAGCC